TCGGGTATGGGATTGGTCAGTGATTTTAGATATATAACTGGAGCGTTGTCATTCACATCAGTTATATCAATAATCACTTTTGCTTCTGAAGACAGCCCATAACCATCTTTAGCCTCAACAAACACTTCATATTTGGATCCCTCCTCATAATCTACCTCACCTGTCACACTGATTTCTCCCGTTTTCTCATCCAGTGAAAACATMTTTTTGGATTTATCAGAGAGTCGACTAAATTCATATGTGACCTCTCCATTGACACCTTCGTCTGCGTCTGATGCACTCACGGTGATAATTTTAGTTTTCAAAGGTGAGTTTTCTGGTAATGCGGCTGAATAAACGGCCTCAGTAAACACCGGGGCGTTATCATTAGCATCTAGTACAATGACGTGTATCACTACAGTCCCGGATCTCTGAGGAGAGCCGCCATCCACAGCCGTGAGCATTAATTTCATTTCCTGTTGCTCCTCTCGGTCTAGCTCCTTATTTAAAACCAATTCACCATACTTATTGCCTGTACCTGTCGTCTGAATACTAAACACGAAGTGAGGGTTTTGTTCCAAAATGTAGCTTTCAACTGAATTCTTGCCTATGTCTGCATCGTGAGCTGCGTTAATGCGATACTTGGCTCCCCTGWCAGCTGACTCTCGTATTTCCAGCTTTACGGTATCCTTTGGGAAAATTGGAGAATTGTCGTTCACGTCCTGCACCTGCAGAGACAACCGGTGTAACTCCAAAGGATTCTCTAATAGCAAGTCGAATTTCAGAACGCAGGAAGGCTTTTCTCCACAATGCTCCTCTCGGTCTATTCTTTCCGCAACCAACAATTCCCCGCTTCGAAGATTAATTCCACAATACTGTCTTTCGTTTCCCTCCATGTCAACGCGAGCTTTGCGAGCGGACAGTCGGCCCACTTCCAGTCCGAGATCCTTAGCGATATTCCCAATAACAGATCCGCGCTTCAGCTCCTCCTGTACCGAATAGCTCAGGTCTCCGTGTGCGTACTGCACCACAACAAAGAAAAGGACAAAGCCGCAGCTTTGTATAATGCACCGTCTGTGCATCATCTTAAATGGCAGAAAACAAATTAAATCTGGGTGGTTCAAATCAATAAAAACACGTTATTCAGTCCGTGTATCTGCCTGTCGAGCAGTTGTCGTCTTTGTTGAAAGCTGTGAGGAACACAGGGGTGGTCGATCGCTATAATGGGTGGTGTGCAAAGCAGGACGAGTATTAGACTCCATTGGTCTCTAGTGACACCGTGAGTACAAAATAAATATTGCATTTCAACAAAAGCGATTCAACTTTGTTTAATCAGATGATTTGGTCACAAAGTTCAACTGAAGGAACATTTTCATTTGGTAAAGAAGACGGTCATCAGGCACTTTAAAGTGTTTTTTTCCGTATATAAGTAAGTGAGATACTTGTTCCCTGAATAACTTGACATAACATTGTGTCTCCTATCGAAGCAAACTACCAATAGCAGTTCATAGGGACACCAGTTACACAACATTTCCCGAATGTGCAGTAATGTTCGACCAAAGAAAATGTCCTTTGGGTTTTAAAGCTGAATAGATCAAGAGTGCTCAGAAACTCATTTCTAATTCATTTACTTTCTTTCTCTATCTGTAATACATCCTGGTCATTTTGTCTCGGAATATGCAAAGGTCTGCCTCCAGTTTCATCCCCCCAAAAATACATGAAAAAGAACACTCAACAAAAGGCACAGCTTGCGTAAACACAGCAGAGAAGAACCACAGTGTGTACTTCATATTGGACGGGTGGAGGACAATCTGTTTWTGACTTTGAAWTCGGTTTGAAATTGAAGACATAAGGGGATCCAACACTACAGGCATAAAATCRAAGTGAAATACTTTWGTTATAAATTCATGAAATGGTTCTCATTCACAACAAACCACTTTAACCAATGTCAATGTCCCGTTCCTGTTTTTCTGTTGTTTTTAATTCAAGGGGAAATAGCCTCTAACTGCATTAAACATCACTGATGTTACTTATTATATAATACACAGGTGGCTCAAGAAAAGATATCGGTGCAAAAAAGAGTGATACAAGGTGTTTGAMGGGTGGAAATATAGAAGGCATGTGTAGTAGCTACAGAATATRCACAACAGTAACTCCAATGTTCAGCACCATGGACAGAGACACAAAGCACAAGTTGCAGCYACTCAGGAGACAAAATAAGTCACATGGATGAATGAACAGATCATCTGGTATCAGGGAAKAGAGGCACAAAATAAATCAGCCCGTCAAACGTTACTGTAGCAGAACCCCAGAACAATAGCTGTAGAATAAATCTAGGAAGAAAACCAAAACACCATGCTCATGTGCTGGCATTTCAGAACGAATTCAAGTAATGAAAAATAAGTTGTGACTTTGAAAACAAATTGTTTCGTGCATCACATTGTTTAAATTGGTCAATAGCCAATAGAATATTGGTTAAGAAAGTAAGACAACTTAAAAGAGCAAATCAAATTCGAAAGATTGACAACTGAGACTTTAATGATATTGAGTGTGTCCATATGAGAACCATCACCTTCTCTGAATGCATCAGGAAAGTTACAAAGACATTTCATCAGAGTCTGGTCAGCACAGTGTTTGTCATGAAGTTACTGTGTCTGGAACCTGTTGTCAAGTTGRTGTCAATGTGATTCAAGACTTCAAACATTCCTAAAGCATCAAGAAAATCTGCTGGTATTTTATTTAGAGCCTTGTTGGCAAAACAAGTGTGATAGTAAAACTAATATGAAATGTTCAGATATTGGAAGAAAGTAAAAGACATGGGTTGTTTCTGAAAATACATCTCCAGGGCAAAAGTGAGGTCCAGCACCAAGGACAGAAACACACYGATGCTTTGTGGTCAAGTGATATATCTTCGGAGTAAACTATKTAAACAGTCTGAAGAATGATCACAAAAATTAAAACACCTGCATACAAGAGTGGACAACCCTTCTCTGAACAATTGGAAAACACCACGATACTGAACCTTTACTACACCAAGAAGTATGCTGCAATMTGTTCAGGATGAGTAAATAGGAACAAAATATTACTTTAGAGTAAAGGTTTAATTATTTGAAAAGGATTGAATCTATAAAAAGAATATTCATAGCACACGTGCTGTACATTGTTAATTTGCCATTTAAAAAGACAAGACAGGCATTTATAAATTTCTCTGGGGATTTAATCGTTACGATGGAAATTCAAACGTTTTGAGCGGAATTTTACACCCAGTCTTACCTCAGGAGAAGAATCACAGTCTCCAAAGGCATCAGCAAAGTCAGAAGGACTTTTCCTCAGAGTCTGGTCAGCAGGCAGTGTG